CCAAAGACCAGATTCTGTTGGAAACAAATTGCAGCAGGATCAATGTCTGCTACCCCAAGACAGAACTTCCAGACACTGGTTCACTGGTGATATATTTAATTCCATGTCCATTGTATGCTTAATACCCTGATTCCAGACCAAATGCCATTGTGCTTTGGATGGACATTCTCTTTTAAAAGGCACCGTCAATATAGAATTACAGACTTCCATACCGTGTTCTTGTCAAACAGCAATCCATGTCAAAACCCAGAATCCAAATCTTCCTAAAACAGATTTTTGTTTGTTGGGATACAGATTATTGTCAGAATGTCTGAGACCAAGGTCTGGGGCAGCGGAGATCACACCCACTCATCTGTGGATGATCTACATTGTTTCTTTAGTCACTCAAACAAAGTTGCCTGAGAGTTTTCATTATCCTACAAGTAAGGGAACTGAAGGTTCTCTAGAGGGCACAGAATTCCTCCCTGTCGGCACAGCTGCTCATTTGGCAGAGTTGGAATCTGGCCCAGGAGTATCTTCTGGAGTCGGTCTCCTTTCCTCTCTAAGCCATTGCTGGGCTTATACAAAAGAAAGAAGAATTCAAACTTTTTTAAAAGTAGTTATCGACATAGGGTTTCGGGTGTGTAACCCTGGATTTCTGGTGTGTAACCCTGGGTTTCTATGTGTAGCTCTAGCTATCCTGAAATTTGCTCTGTAGACCCGGGCTGGCCTCAAACTCAGAGATCTGCCTGCCTCTGCCTCTGAGTGCTGGGACTAAAGGCATGCACCACCACTGCCCAGCAGAGAATTCAATCTTATTGGTGTGGCCCAGTAGTCTTCTACTTGTGACTGTGGATGCAGCAGCTCCCTCACTGCTCAGAATTGAAAGAAATACAAATCCTTGGGAACCACACCAGGGGTTTGACTCACGGGTTCTGAGGTGTGGACTGAGCATTTGTCTTTAATAAGTTTCCCCAGGAAGTCCAATGCCCACTTAAAGTGAGAGACCCTGGGTGAAAGAGTTCCCATTGCTGTGAGCAGGAGAACATCTACGGCTGCATTGTTTCCAGGTTACAGAACGGAGACAGGGTGGGAACCGCAGTGCCTGAGCCCTCATCCTGTGAGGTGAACCCCTCAAGGACTGAACACCCCTGCTGTAGCACTTCCACCGCATAGACTAAACACTAGCACTACAAGCAAATGTGAGCCAGGCCACATCATTTTCAAGAATGTCAGCTGCTTCCAAACTGCGCTGTGAGTTTCACAAAGGCAAAGTTGTTAACTTGGATCTCAATTTTAATTTGGGCAATTACCTCCCCCTCCTTCCCAGTGGACTGCCATTTCCTGCAGCAGACAACTCGACCTCTGGCACTTGTTGAATGGGGGCTCCTTTCCATCTCAAAGGAAGCCCATAGTCTTCCTGTTCTGATGCAGGCTGCAGTTCTCTGGACAAAGATTCAGTTCTGTACATGCATGGAGCTTCAGACAGATATATCCATGGGCAAAAGAAACAATGATTAGGGACTCCTGATGTAGCCATCAGATCTGTGCTACTTGTTGCTGGTCTCTTGAGTGTGAGAAACAATGTGATAGAGGTCTTCAAATATTTGAACACAATTCAGTGACAATTTTCCAAGGGTCAGATGTCAGGAGTAGGAAAAGAAACAGGACCTTGACATTTCAAAGCCTTACAGACCTGAGCGAAGTCCTTAAGGAAATACACTGAAATGTAATACCTTCCAAAAGAAAGTGCCAGCTTTGACATGCCCACTCTTCGAATGACTAAGGTGTTGACTTGCCCGGGCTGCTGGTACCACCAGGGCATGACATTACTTAGCAAGGTGGTTGGCAGAGTATAGCAATGGAATTAAGGCTAGTACCTCCTGGGGTCACTCTAGGGGCAAAGGGATACTACAGAGCAGAGAAGAGCTCTTCTGGGTATAATGTCTATACTGATGTCCTGCTGCCACTGTCATTTCCAGGAATCCTTGGCGTCTTCCATGCTACAAGTTTCCCAGCGTCACCGTGAGTGTGATCATCACACTGGAAGGTGATAATAGATGTGCTTATGTCACAGTGAGTTGAAACTTCTGCCTGGACTTTCTCTATGAGGGTGACTCAGCTGTAGCTATTGTGAAGTTATATTAGAGTGCCTGTTATTAGGGGTACTCTGAGCCCCAAGAACACAATGCTCTGAGCAGATTAAACACTCTGGAAAGGCAGGCCCAAGCAGTCGAGGCTCACAATTCTCCTAGTTCCTGACTAATCTGTTTCCAGTGTGATAACTTCACCTCTGTGTCTTTTGCTTCTAGCAGTAGAAAAGAAGTGTCTCTTGCTGTCCCCACCTCCAAAGACTGTTGTGTAAATACGTAGTGTGTGCAAAATAATCCTCTGTAACTTTTAAATGTTATCACATAAATACTGGGGAACCATATCAAACATGCCAAAGCATATTTGATACACAATGTTTTACAATCCATTTCCATTGTATTAGTAACACCTTACTTCTATCAGTAGCAATTTACTGAGAATGTAGTCTGTTCTCTCTCTCTCTCTCTCTCTCTCTCTCTCTCTCTCTCTCTCTCTCATGCACACACACACACACACACACACACACACACACACATGCACGCACCCTCGAATTGTCAAAGGGAAAAGGGAGAGACTGAGAAAGAAAGCAGAATATCTGTGTTTTTCATTGGTTTTATAAATACAGAGATGTGAACTTTTAAACAGGTGCACCCCCTTCCTTTGCTGGAAGATGTGTGCTTTGTTGGGTCATCAGAACTTCCGACAATTATGTAATAAGGAAAGGGAACGCAGCATTTGAAGGGTCCTGAGCAATCATAGCACAGGTAATCCAAGTGTCAGACACCATGTTATTCAGGGAAATAGGAGATAGGGCTGCTCTGTAGTCTCACTGTATGCCTCAAACCAGATGAGCTGGAACTTTAATTCCACATGAATCAGTGGTGGAAACCAGTGAGAGGTGTTTGGGTCATGTAGACCAGTCCAATGCTTGTTTTTTATGGGTGAATTCTTAAAGGTTGGGTTATTATAAAACAAGGCATGTTCTCTCTCTCTCTCTCTCTCTCTCTCTCTCTCTCTCTCTCCCTCTCTCTCTTACACACACACACACACTCACACACACACACACACACACACACACACACACTTCCCTTCTGCTTTCTTTCAGGAATCCTCAAAGCATGAGATCTTTACTAAAAACCTAGTACAGGGTAGTGCCACGTTCCTAGACATCCCAGTTTCTAAAGCAATTCACAAAAAAACAAACAAACGAACAAAAAAAACCTCTTTCTTTATCAATTACCTAGGTTCTGGTATCTTGCCATAGGAATAGAAACACAGTCTACGCTATTCTAGATGAATTAGAGAAGTTGGAAGGGGTGGTAGGTGGGAGCAATTGTACAAGATAAGATTAAACAGTAGCTCAGGTCTCATGGATAAGAGCACTACCCACACTCCTGGCCCACTGAATATGTCACAGCCATGTCATCCAGGGTGGACAGACTCTGGAGAGTCTTTGAGACCTGGAAGCCAGTGTTTGGCTATAAAACAAGGGGGAAATGTATCTGGCCCAGTGAACTTGTCTGGTCTGTGCTTGAAAGGAGGAGGTTGGATTGAGGAAAGAAATAGACAAGAAACAGAAGATAGTCTGGAGGACATCCAGTGAATACTGTGATCAGCCCCAAGTTTATTGCTCAAAGTTCTCATATACCCCAATCAAAAGGGGAAGGCAAAAGGCTTCCTTACAATGATACAAGGAACAAACAAATGTAATTACCTCCTTAACAACTGAAACATCAAGTAGCCACACCTTAAACCAAATATCCTGTTGCCTAGGTAAGACGTCTATTAGCTACACTTTAGGTCAAACATCCTATTGTCTAGGCAAGACATACAATACCTGTACCTTAGGCCAAACACACTGTGGTTTAACCTTGAAGGAGCAATAATAGGCTCACACTCTCTGACCTTAAGACAAGATGGAATGGAGCCGTTTCTATGGGCCTCCACAGAAATGCAGTGTCAGTAAGGGATATGACGTAATGCTAACTAGTGGATATCAAGACAGCCCTGGTGGTACATGCCTATAATCCCTACACTCAGGAGGCTGAGGCAGGAGGATGACTAACCAGAGCTCAGCTTATGGAATACAGTACCTTATATCAAACTTAAACCCAAACAAAACAGACCAGATGGACTTTCTGGCTGAAGTCTTTGTGCTTCTGGCTTCAGCATGGACACTGAGAGTTCTAGCAGTTATATCAAGCATCTCACGACCCCACAGCTGGTGACAATTATATCCTTCCAGTGGCTTAAGCTACGTAGCTTGTGGTCGCTCTGGATTTCTCTTTATTTCCCACATATCTCATTAGGAAAACCCGTAGCTTTGTGCCGAAGGAGACTCAGAATCCACTCGCTTCTTCCTACCCTGATGCCTGGAAGTGGCCCGTACCCTTCCTCCCTTTGTTCCACTCAGCCCAGGACGGGAACTCTTTCAAAAGCCCTGTCAGAGCCCCTCTCCTGCTCAGACCCGCACGACTGCTCCATTTCCACACGTTAGAGCGACGCTTTTGCTGTATCCTGGTCCATCCCCATACTCCCCTTCAGCCACAGAAATTTCCTCAGCCCTTCAGCAAAGCAGGACAACCCCACTTGGAGCTGCATCTGTGGCTGAGCCTGGATGCTTGCCCTCAAATACGCATTTACCCAACTCCATGTTCCTGTCGAGGGTTTGTGCCTGCTGGTCTATCCTATCTCCCCCAATGCCATTACAGTGCTTCTATAGACCACAGTTCACTGTCTCACCTAGGATGGTCATTCCTAGAAAGCTCAAGCTCCCTGGAGATTCAGAGGACTTCCTTTGACCAGTGAAGCAACCCAGGCTGCTTTGGGAAGTATTCTGGATAATGATTACCACTCAGTAAATATTTGTCCAATAAACAGGGAGGGAATTATTTTTGCAACATAGGGAAGATTTATTGGAAAGGGCAAGGTATATTATAGGTAGTGATAGCCATCTGAAATCTGGCATTAGATTAAAAGAAAAAGAATGAGGCTGAAACCTCAGAGCAGGTGATGTAGAGAGGATTGGTGTGGAAACAAAACTAACTGTGTGCAGAGGCTCAAAGCGTGTTGCTTCCAACGAAATAGCATCAATCTTCCTGTCACTGGCTGCAGTTTTAGAAGCGTCATTTGAAATGAAGGCTGTGTGTTCTGTTGAGTGGATATAGAACCCACTTCTTTTTGCTGGCCATGTTGATTCTGACTCTTACTAAGATGATGATGATGCTGTGAATATCTTCATGAATTGTAACATGAAAAATAAAAACACAGAGACAGATATCAGGGTTCAAAATGAAGATCAGAAAAGCAAAGCAGCCAAATCACCAGAGAGTTCTCACCTCTACCAAGGCTGGGATGATCCTATCCTCATCATGACTGGAGACTAACTGCTCCTGTCTGATATAACTCTCTAGTTCTGGAATTAAAGGCATGCACCACCACGGCCCAACTTCTGTGGGTAACTAGTGTGGCTGCTGGGATTAAAGGTGTGTACCACCACTGCCTGGCCTCTATGACTGTGGCTAGTTTTGCATTCTGATCTTCAGGCAAGCTTTATTTGTTAGAATACAAATAAGATATCACCACAGTGAATATAACTTTGCTGTATTTGGGATCATTGTACCGTAACAGATTGACAAATGCTACAAGAGACAAGCCTGTTAAAAGGCATGCATTTTACAATACTGGCAGCATCAATGGCTAGTTTGTGGAAATAGCAGCATGACTTTCCTTTTCTTTATACTTGTTTTGGGGTCCTTTTTCTCATCAACTCCCTTGATGCTCACTGCCATTTTTATCAGGTTGTATTTCTATATACCAATCTGAGAGGTTACAAATCCTACTTTAAATTGCTTTCTCCCAGTAGGAGTGAATTTAGGCTGGGTCGATGGTTCAGTGAGTGAGAAAACTTGCTGTATAAACATGTATAAGCATCAGGACCTGAGTTTGGATCCCAGCACCCATGTAGAAGTCAATAGAATAAGAGGGTTGTTCTGGAGGAAACCACCAGCCGTTGCTACATGATCTAAGTGGGCATTGCTCCAAACTGATAGACACTCATACATACTGTTCATTAAGTAAGTCACTCCTTTACTTTGATTACAAAAATCTTTCACTGGCCATCATATCAGTTCCTACAAAAAGTCTTGTTTTCTTGGACAACATCCTTATTGCACTACTGGATGGATTTGTAGTTTCAGGTTTTCAATTTATTGAAGTTTGCATTAGCACAGTACCACTAAATCACCCAAATTAAATCACTGGGGTTTCAAGGAGAGAATATTTACTTTTCACAGATGCTTGAGCAAAAGTAAAACATTGAAAACCTCACTGCCCAGTCAGGAAAGGAACCCTATTAATAAAATAAACGTAGGGCCATGTTTAGCATAGGCAATAATTCCTCTCCTCAGGTGTTGGTGAAAAAGTCAATGTGTTGGTTAAATCAGTGTGAGGAAAAATAGAAGTGTTATTTCCCTCTATGCTGAGGATGGTATCAAGTAAATGATAAGGACAGATAAAGTTTGGAATTTCCATAGCAAAGGTGGTAAATTTTTAAAAGAATAGAAAATGAAGTTATTATACAAGAGATAAAGGTGCCGTGGGATATAGCTGGAGTGAAGGAATAATTTTTGTTGCTCTGTGGCAAAGCCAGGGAATGATGGTTGATGAAAATCATTTTGTTTTTCAAAACACAAGATACGGTTTGAATACTCCCACCAGCGAGAAAGGACCACCATCTGCAGGGGGGAATCCAAATAGGTTAGAGTCTGAGAAAGAAGAATAAGCTTTCAGATCTTACCTGGAATTCTAGAGCATGGAAACATCTGCACACAGGAGAACTTTAAATAATAAACACAATACCCAAATTTGCAGGGAAGATTAGTTTGCTCGGCCAGGAAATTATGAGAAAAAATAATTTCAATATGAACATAGCATCATTATGAAAAGACAGGAACAGACCCAGGTGAATTTGATAGACAAATGCTCGATGCATTTGATAGCTCAAGTGGTCATACAAGCAATAATATTGCAACCTGCAGAGATTATATGCAAATAATGGTGAATAGGATTATCTGTAGGTATGTATAGGCCTGCTTTCTGCCACTGTGAAGAATGGCTTGCTTTGGCTCATGGTGTCAGAGGCTTCAGTTCATGGTCACTTAACCCTGTTACTTGGCCCAGAAGAGACATCATGGTGAGGAACACCAGGCTAAGGAAATTCCTTCTCTCATGCCAGCTGGGAAGTGGGAGGGGGTATTTCGATCCAAACTGGAACAGAAATCGAATTCATAACAAAATGTGAGAAAAGGCAGGCATCTGACTTGTCATCAAAGCCAGATGAATAAAAACAACGAAGTGACAGTTTTCTACTTGCATATTTAACTAAGACATTTATCCTTTGCGCAGTTGTACTCAAATCTCAAAGTCCAGTGAAACGAGCACATCCGTTTTATTTTAAACTTCAAAGATACTTTTATTGGGATTTAAAAAGAAAAACCGCGGAGTGACAAGCTGTAAACCTGCGCAGCTGTCCCAAGTAGGAGAAGGAGGAAAAGGCAGGGTGTTCTGTTCATTGTTCCAGTTAAGCCAGTATGGAAATCAGCCATATCCACAAAGCAGACAAGCGGCCACATGGCAGGAAAAGGAACTTCAGAGAGGGAGGAATGAAACCCAGAGAACCAGAAAAGGCATACCTGGGCTCTGGCAGTGACCCGAGAGAAAAAGACAAATGAAAGAGAAACAAGAGGACAAGTTAGGCCTTTGAGTCAGGACCAGAAGCTAGTGGTGGCTGTACAGCGATTGCTCCAGGCTGGGAACAAAAAGTACAGTTTCACTCAAGGGATAATTATTCTTCCTAACTCTTTAGCACGGCCTAGGGTGATCATGCCTTCCTCAGGGATGGTCCCTTAGCCAGGTGATTGACTTGCCCAACTGGAATGTTTGGTCCACACCCAGAGCCAATGCTTAGCTTCCAGAGAGCTATCCTTCTTTACTGATGAGTTAGCCAGCCTGTGGTGTTTCGATAATAGCAGCACAAAATGAACTGAGACGAGCTCATTTTGCTCACGAGCTCCTCACGACTCAGTCACCTCTCCAAGCACCCACCTGTGCATGGCTGTGTTCGTGTGCTTTGCTGTTGCAGTGATAAAACACTGACGTAGCCAAGTGTGCTGGCACACACCTTTAATCCCAGCGCTCGGGAGACAGAGGCTGGTGGCTCTCTGTGAGTTCTAGGACAAGCAGAGCAACGTGAAAGGTAATGTTTGAATGAAAAGGAAGGAAGGGGAGGGAGGGGAGGGAAGGGAAGGGAAGGAAGCAAAGGGAAGGGAAAGGGAAAGGGAAGGGAAGGGAAGGGAAGGAAAGGGTAAAAACTTTATGTAGGAACTGAAGCAGAGACCAGTGTAGGAATACTGCTTTACTGCTGACTGATTTGCTCAACCTGCTTTCTTATGTACCTCAGGACCACCTGCCCAGGGATGGCACTGCCCACAGTATGTTAGAAACATCTGTTAGAAAAAATGTAAATGCTCCACAGACACGCCCATGTGCCAATCTGATGGAGGCAATTCCTCAGTTGAGGCTCCCTCTGCCCAGATGTATCAAGCTGACAACTGAAGGTCACTGTGACAGTAGCATCTTGAAGATTAGTTTTCAGCGCGTGGCTTGTAGGCCACACATTCAGACTGATCACGGTGTATCATCAAACACAAAAGTAATCGTTTGAAGAAAAATAAGGCAGAATGGAAAAAAATCCAGGATGGTAGTGATAGCTGGGTCAATCAGGGATCCTTTCTTTTTTTTTAATTTAGTATTTAAAAATCAAATCCGCCGGGCGTTGGTGGCGCACGCCTTTAATCCCAGCACTCGGGAGGCAGAGGCAGGAGGATTTCTGTGAGTTCGAGGCCAGCCTGGTCTACAGAGCGAGTTCCAGGACAGCCTCCAAAGCCACAGAGAAACCCTGTCTCGAAAAACCAAAACAAAAAACAAACAAACAAACAAACAAAAAAATCAAATCCATGTAGTCGACTCCTTAAAAGATGGGAATTGGGGAAATGTTAGTTTTCCAACTAGTGACACAGTTGTGGACTGGAAGGGACCATCCAGATTTGGCTGAATGTCTCAAGGGACCCTAATCCATGTCTTTTGTCCATTCTGGCTTTGGATCCTGTCTAATGCCTATGAATTATTGTCTCATGTGAGTAAAAGATGTCTTTGTTGACTTCCCCTGGATGCTGCAACAGAAAGCTGTGAATCTGATAGTATCAAACAGAGCTGTCTTTGAGAGGGAGGGACATGGAAGACTTCCGGTGACAACCTCTACCCAAAAGCAATGGCCTAGACAGGAAGTCATCCAAGAAAACTCTTTAAGAGTATGACGGGAATGCTAAAGTGCAACTCTTCACAACTGATGGCTTCCCGTGGGGGTTGGGGAGGGAAAAGACTCGGTTCTGTTTAAGGGGAAGGCCACTAAGAGTTTGACCCCAGTGAACAGATAGAAAACACAAACTGGACCCTTTTTTGGGGGGGTCACAAGGGTGGAGGGACAGACTTGGAAGGACTGGGAAGTGAGTGTGTTCGGGGTGTACCATGTGAAGTCCCCGGAGAATTAATAAAATTGTTATATTGAAAACAAAAACAAAAAGAGTGCTGTGTGTAGCCTAGCAGTTTTAGGAAAAGTTCTAAGTGGAAGAAACTCTTTGGGGATCTAAAAGCACCCTGTGTGGCTAGCTGTGATGGGAAGCACATTTAATCTCAGCACTCAAGTGGTAGAGGAAGGAGGGTCTCTGTATGTAGGTGTCTGAGGCCAACCTGGTCTACCTAGACAGTTCCAGGCTAGCGGTGGCTACTTAGTGAGACCCTGTCACAAATAAAACAAACAAGAAACCCCAAACAAACAAGGAACAACAACAAGAGTATAAAAACCACTCTGTGCGTGAGCTAAGTTCCCTCTATGGGCCATTGCTTTGACTTTTCTGGAGACTTTTCCTAATGTTCCTTGGTTCCCGGTTCCACCTTCTAGCCAGCTGGCAACTCCTGCCCCACCTTTGGCTCCCCGCTGCCACCATGAGTCTTTTGCCTTCTCCTCTGCCTACGGTCAAATCCCCCTCCTTTAAAGACACATGAGGCCACATGTGGGTTCATATGGGTAATCCAAGATAATCACCCACCTCTGGACCCAAAAATCACATCTGTACTGTAGGTGAACATTTCTGTCCCTCCAGCCAGTTCCCAAATGCCCGCACAGAGACTTAATATTAAGTATAAATGCTCCATTGATGGCTTAGGCTCCTCTTTTTAAGCTAGTTCTTATAACTTAACCCACTTCTATTAATCTATGTGCTGCCCTGAGGCTTGTTTACCTTGTTATGAACTTCCCATCCTGCTCACGTGTCTCATGACATCTCCTCTGACTTTGTCCTTCTCTCCAGCATTCTCTCGACCCCAAAACTCCTGCCTATTCATGGGCCAGTCAGCTCTTTATTCACGGGGAACAAAAGGGTTATTCCACAGTACTGTACTCTTGTCTCCACGAGGTGACAGTCACAGCTTCCAGGCAGGGATCAGGTCATTCATCTCCCTGGAGGCTGACCCCCCCCCCATCCTATCACCCTGCCTTTCTCTGCAGATGTGATGCAAGCAGCAGCTTCTGGCTCCTACCTCCTTTTTCTCCTGCCATGATAGAGTGTCCCCTGAAACTGTGCATGGGAAAAAACAAAAACAAAAAAAACCTTTCTCCCCCATGTTGCTTCCCTCCGGACATTTTATCCTATCATTTAGCAACAGAAAAAGAAACCAAGACATCTGTCTCTTTGTTGAGAGCAGGAAGCTATTCTAGAGAATGCCAGATAAATTGCAATTGCTCAGAATTCCCCCAGATTTCTCCACTTTGCCCTGTGGTCTGCTCTACAATCCTTCCCACAAGTTGTGAGTAGGGGATGTTCGGTCTTACAGAATTTGGGGCACAAGGTAATTTGGGGAGTGGGGGAGTCTGGTCAGCACTTGCATGCACACACTTGTCTGTGCCTCTTTCCATGATACGGAACAGGCCAATTTTACCCCAGTGGCTTATAAAGTGCATGCCCAAAGACTGTAATACCCCTTGATCTCCATCCTGGGACTTTCCTTTGAAAGGCCATCCTCCTACTGTGTGGAGAATTTAGTGAGAGAGGCATTAGCTACATGCATATCATAGACTGCTGCAGCCCAGGAATGACTTCAATTATAAGAAAATAGCAAACTTGATTTTCTATTTAGTCAGTACTGGAACTTTGAACTTCTCTGTCTATCACGCTGCCTTAAAGGAAGCACAGATCAATAAGTGAAAAATACTTGTTATAAAATTTTTGTGGTCGAAAAGCAGAAAATGGAGATGCTCAGGGATTCTTCGAGGCGTGTGAGGAGAAGTACCCAAGCTCTGAGCCTGCCACACAATGTCCTACCTCCATCACCAAGGCTCTACCCTTCACGTTTCTCCTTCATTTTACCTCTGAACTCATTCCTTGAGATTGGACCTTCCAGACTACGTTCAAAGTGGAATAACACATCCCTGGAGATTGACAGCGACACACCAGGAGACCTGACGATGCCTGTGTCCTGCAACTGCTGAGAAGCCAGAAAAAGAACATGTGTAAGGAGCTGCTTGGAGAAGGAGTTTCATATCTCTTTGGCTTAATATTGGGGCTCTGACTCCTGATTCACTGTTAACTGTTTGCACGATGAGCAGTTATTTACATTTTTCAGAACTCATCTCCTGCTGGGTCAAGGGTGATTTCTAAAGCCCCGGAGGGACATTCAGATAGAAAAGACCCAGTGTCTTACTCTGATCTTCAGCCTTTGGTTTAGGATAGTAGAAGCTGTACACGTGAGCTAAGAATAGCCCTACTTCTTAACTTAATGTGTGTAGCCTCAAAATAGCTTGGCAGAACTCCCTCCGGCCTCCATGTGAGGAGTGACAGCAGCTCAAATCTCACTGAGAATCAATCGCTCCTGCCACTGCAGTCATGAGATTCTACTTAGGCCTCAGGAGGACTGGCTGAAATCCCAATTTCTCTTCTAGGGGAGAAAAAGTTTTCATTTGTAATGGGCCTGGAAGCACATGCATGTTTCTAGTGATAATATTAGTTCAGCATCCCTGTGTGGGTAGTTCTTAAACGCATGGAGATCTATCATGTCCCTAAATTGTGACAGTTATTGCCTGCTGTTAACTGCGCACCAGGACATGTTCCCACATGCAACTCACTTTTTCATGTCAATGAACAACTTGACACGTGTATATCTAGTGCTTTGTTTGACCCCAACATGCAGCTGCTGCTTTTATCAGCGGTGACGGCTGACAAGTGATCAAGCTTCACCAAGTGCTTGTAGGTAAAGTGAAGATCTGGGCTTTCCAGAGATCTGGTGGGTACTTCCAGGACGAGCTGACGCGACAGGCCTGAAATCCAAGGCATAGCAGTTGGTCATCTTAGGAAAGAACTCCGGAAGTGATGAAGGTAGGGAAAGGCTCAGCTGCAGCTGACCTACCATCGCTAACTTCGCTGTGGTGGAGGCATTCTCCTGCCCTTACAAGGTCATTTTGTATGCAGTGGGCCCCGGAAAGGAGCTCTTCTGATTACAGAGGAGTTCAGTACCTCTTGTGCATTTTACTGAGTGTAGTAGAGCTTACTATTTCCACGTGTGGTGAAGTGTGCTGTTAGGTCCCCACTCCCCAGGAAGCTCTGGAACCTTCCATTACTGCCATCACTACCCATGTTTGACTTGGATGGCTAGGAACTGCCAGCAGGGCATGTTTCCCCCTTTTATTTTGGTAGTAGGTGAGATCCACCATCCGCTGCTGTGTTTTAGTCTGTTTTCTTTTGTAACCAAATGCCACAGTTTGGATGATTTATAGAGAATAGAAGTTTGTTGATCTCGTGATCTGGAGACTGAGAGATCCAAAGTCTGACTGGCACTAGCTCAGCATCCAGTGAGGAACCACGGCTGGGTCATGGCAAAGCAGAGAAGATGGCAGCAGATGGTGAGACAGAGAACATCTTCCAGAAAGAGCTACTGCTATTATCCTCATAACCCATACATCCATACATCCACCCATCCATCCATCCATCCATCCAGGCTGAATCCATGCACTAGTGCAGAGGCCTCCTGGTCCAGTATCTTCCCATAGGCCCTGTGTGCTTCTATCTCTTAACACTGTCAGCATGAATTTCAAACCACAGCAGCCTACTCTTTGAGTTGGTGTCTTGCTGCCTGCTGGGTAGGAAGTTGTATGGATCAGGAAAATTTGGATTACAGAAGCATGAATGTTCGTCATAACACTCTCTGATAAGTGGCTTCCCAGATGATATCAGTAACACACAGCTCCCAGGGTCAAGGGCCCTTATGTGATATCCTTCCCCACCTCAGGGTTAGACATTGTAACTTGTGTCTCACAAACAGAACATGGAAAAGGTAAATTACGGAAAGTTTGTGGTTCCAATCTGGAAACTCTAACTTAGACTTCCTTTTCTTGAAGGCACTCAGCTGCCATCTTAAGCTGATCACGAAGAGGACCACTTAAAGAAGAACAACTGAGGTTAACTGTTGGGTGACAGGTTTTTCCTGGGGAGATGCAATATAACTGTCTACTCATCGACAATAGGCAGCCCTTGACAGGCAAAAGTATGGATACCACCAAAGTCCAAAATGGTGAACCAGTGAGTTTTACTGGGGCTACTTATAGAAGCAAAAAATAACTTAAAGACAGCTGCATTACCAAAGGCCACCCCAGCATGAAAGATAAAACATAAAAGTTGGAAACTGCACAGCCTGCAAGAAACTCAGCAGGTTGGAGAAGGTTCTTTCCTGGTGACTCAGCTGGGCTTTGCCTCTTCCAGGCATCTGGGCATATCTGAGAGTCTTTGCTGTTTGACTTGTCTGAGAGAGACTTCAGCAGTCCCTATTGTTTATTCTTGGTAAGAGAAGGGCCTAGTGAATCTCTTCAGTTTCAGGGACTTCCTGAAGCTATTTTGGATTGTTTACTTTTTGTCTCAATGAACTTTCCTGAAGGATGGAATGTTTCAATAAAAGAGGAAACTGTTAGACAATAGTAGCCTCGACTGAACACCTAACCATCAGCCCAACAGCCCAAAAGAGCTCCAATCCAACAAACAAGTGCATGGTCAGGGTAGAGACAGGTCTAAAATACCTGGGAGGGCCTTCAGTGAAGGCCATACTCTTGGTCAGAAACATAGCTCATGGAGAGTTGTACCCAGAGGCCCCAGCAAGACTGTGTTTGGTGTTATGATCCATAGAAACTGAGAAGTAATGCATGTGTCTTGCTTTCGGAACTAAATTCTGGGGTCATTTATTACATAGGATTTGTACATATGTGGGAATATAATACAGTGATTAGGAATATAGAACATTTTAATTGCATGAAATTAGGATTCTTAATAATCGTTTTATCTTGCAGATACTTTCACACAACATCAGAAAAGACCAAAATATTCTTTCAGTCAGTGATTCTAAATGTTTACATCACTGAAAGCATATTGGTAGATGTTCTAATTAGCTCTGACTTCCAACTGGACAGAGATTAGAGACATCAGAGAAGAGATTTTCAGATGAGGGATTACCAGATCAGATTACCTGTTGTCAGACATGTCTGTTGGGGATTGTCTTGATTGTAAATTGATGTAGGAAGGACTAGTATACTATGAATCATACTGTTTCCTGTACAGTGGTCTTGGGATGTGTAAGCAAGGTAGCAAAGCATGAGTTTGAGAGGGAGCTGCAAGCAGCCTTCCTCTATGGCTTCAGCTTCAAGTTCCTAATTGAGTTTCTGCCATCAATTCCCTCAACAATGAACAACAACTCATATGTTGAGGTAAGCCCTTCCTCCCCTCAGTAGTTTTTGATGAGAGTGTTTATGACAGAACTAAAAGAGTAGCATTCACAAAATGCCACAATTTCTAGGTTTTTAGTAATCTTTTGGCTTCCATAGTCTTCTGTTATATGGGAGATAGTCTGTTCATCTAACAAAAGCAGAACTGAGAAGTTTGTATGACATTACCTAACACTTAAAAAAAACAAAGAAACATTTGTAGCAAGGGGTGGGGGGTATTGACACACATCTTTAATCCCAGCACTCTGGAGACAGAGACAGGTGGATCTCTGTGAGTTTCAGGCCAGCCTGATCTACAGAGTGAGTTCCAGGACAGGCCCCAAAGCTACAGAGAAACCGTGTCTTGAAAATAAACAAAACAACAAAAACAAAAACACATTTATGTCTTTTCTTTTTTTTTTCAGCGCAGCAGCCTGGATTTTTTACAAGAATATGTCGCTTGTGCACATACTGGACATCGACTTAATGGGAATGGTAGTTTTATTGTTGTTGCTTTTAAGAGACATCCACTGTGTAGACATGGCTACATTGCAGTCCAGTTGTTAGTGATGTGTTTTGTCCTGAACACTGAAATTTCCCTGCTTCTAAAAGGTCTATGGCGAGTGCTTCAAACAGCGATAAATTTCTTTTTCCCCTAGGGCATACATAAAAGCAGAGGCTGGGTGTGGTGGGGAAAGCCTGTAATCCCAGCATTGGGGAGCCCAAGGCAAGATTGTGCGGTTAAACGTTAACCTGGTTTCATAATGAATGCTGTCAAAAAAAAAAAAAAAAAAGGAAAGGAAAGGGAAGAAAGAATAATGAATAATGAACAACAGCAAAAAAAAAAGTAGTGTCTATGTCCTTCTCTACTTAAAAGAGGAGCATTTGACTAATTTCAAGGCTTGCATCCAATGGTGAGAGCCGTGGATCCGGGTCTTTAGATTCTCCTGTAGTTTATGTCCCTGACTTGTGGTGAGCAGTATCTTATTCAGTCTCTTCCCACACTGCATGTTATTGACATTACCATGGCACAGGATTAAGCAGCATTTTCTCAACATTAAATACTAAGGCCTCGCCTGGCTGGTTAGCTACGAAGGGTACTTCCCACAGTCTCATGCACATTCCTTTGGAGGAAGACATCAGGTAGTAGTAGCCTGTAGGACCCACGGTGAGAGTCTTGTTGATGTTTGCCTTTGGCTATCTTGCCCTCTGAGTCCCACAGGTGATGCAGAATGGCCCAGGTCGATGCTGTGCACTGAGAGATTCTCCTCTGCGGAGGAACCGGGAGCTCAGGGAGCTTGACTATTACAGTGGGCTGAAGCTAATAACCTTGTGCAACCACTGTACGGGAAAGAAACCGCATCATTATTACTTTAGACAGTAAATAAAGCCTCCATTGGTCCTCTGGGAGACACCGTCTCCATTTTCCAAGACTGAACAGCAGTTTTAGAAGGCAGCCAAGGAGGGAAGGCTGTCAGAGCCTCTGCTTGTGAGATGGGCAGGATCTGAGTGCCCTGTAGAAGACCATCTCTCTCGAGGATGGTGTCTTCTCCTCCGCCTGCAGCAGCCTTAAAATGTGAATGAGTTTCTCATCGCCTTCTTTTCACAGTGCACCTTTGTCTGGAGAATTCATCCAGGAATACTGTATCATGAAAATTTGCTCTAATGCAAATCCTTCTGTTATATAAAGCAGTGGTTCTCAATCTTCCTAATGCTGCAACCCTTTGGTACAGTTCCTCATATTGTGGGGACTCCCCCCACCATAAAATTATTTTTGTTGCTACTTCGTAACTGTAATTTTGCTACTGCTTTGAGTCACAATGTAAGTATTAGTGTTTTCCAATAGTCTTAGGCGACCCATAGTTTGAGAACCACTGAAAAGAGGCACAAAAAAGGGGCCTACTACGGCTATGCTATTTCAGTGTCAAATCAAGGAATGACAAACCCAGGTGGTCCCGTACAGCTGCTGAGTCATCCTTTCCAATTTGGATGATGTCAATTGTGTAAGAGCAACAATCTTTACAGAGCGTGTTCCCCCAAATCATCCTGTACAGGGCTTAGCGTTCAAGGTCATCTGAGAAAGGGATTCCAGGAAGCATGGTCAGTGGCGAAGCGGGGGGAGAATTGGAGAGGATGAGAGACAACCCAAGGTGTTATCAGACAGGGAACTACAGGGAACACCTGAGCCTTAACCCACTGGAGCTGCCTGAAGGTGGAAGGAGCTGAAATAGTTATTAAACATCGAATCTCATCCACCCTCGCTCAAGGCAATTCTGGGAAGCGCTTGTGGCCTGCTTATGCCTGTGCTTGGGTAGGGGTCACAGGAGGGTGAACGTGTATGGGGGATGGTGCCATGTGAAGGGCTGGGTACCAGCTGCGTCTGTTCCCTAGACCCAGTATCCAGGGTCAAGGATCATCACCCTTTTGAACTTCCTAGACTCTGATACACATCTACATCAAGAGGAGGCCTGCAAGGCTGCCACAGACACACACAAAGGTAGTTTAGATGGGTTTTGTGTTTTTGTTAGAATTTGGTTTACTTTAATTGGGTTTCCTCTGCGCGGCTGTGGTGT